CTGAAGGAGCAGTAAAGAATGCCAGACAACTTACATTTCCAATTCTTCAGCAATAGATACCGTAAGCTTCTAGAACTTACTCTCTTCCTCCATACATATTTCTAGCATTGCTCCTCCCGTTTTGTGTCATTGAAATTTTCATAATCAAGAAGCAGTAAAAATAACAATTACGCTAGACTGTCAAAAGAGTGATAAAACTAAAGGATCTAAGTATGGGGAGGCTGGAGGTGGAAGAGAACGGGAGAGGGAAAGTTCTTACACAAAATTCATGAGGTTGCTGGTTTACAATCAATTCATAAAAGTCTTCTGACATGGCAATTTTGTTCCAACTTGTAAGGGTGACTACACATCAAGTTGATAAGGTCTAAGCTAAGCAAGAGAACGCAGTTAAAAAATTCTGAGATGAGACACAGAAGGAAAACCCTGTATTATCCAAAACGTCTAAATGGTGACTGGTTCTTAATTGTACCTCATGAAAAACTGGCTGCCAGCTCTGGCAAACCTTCCCTGGTAGGCTCTAACAGAGGTAAATAATTTACCCTGGAAAAAAAGGATCAACTGCAGAGAAGTTTCTTAGATATTTAGACAGAAAACACAAGTAAAAAACTGCACTGAGAAAAGGGCAATGCTACATCTCAGCACAGGTGACAAAAGTCTGGGTTTTTTCCCCTAAATCCAGCATAATGCTGAGAGGATTGCACTTGGAGGGTAGTAGAGGCATGAGGAGCTTTAATCTCCTGTACTGTGCAATCCCCGAGAATGTAAACTGTCTGTAAACTGATGAGAAGAACCATTCCTCCTGGGTGAAACTGAAACGGCCAGAGCAGAGAACCTGTAGAAAACAGGCAATGCACATTTAATAGTGGAAACTGCCTGATCTGAACAGGTTCAAACTACTTTGGTCTAAACTACTTCCACAGATTTACTTATTAACATAATTTCTAAAAATTATTCTCTAGAAATGTTATTTTTTGTACATGAAAAATATATTTAATGTTTGCTCAGAGTATGTCTTTTTCCTCAAGAAAATACATGAAGAGCTCCTGAAAACGGCATAAATTGAAACTGTGACCTCGCTTCTCTACATGAAGCAAAACTGTTTTTTTAGAATTGTTATCCAAAGAAATGTATACAACTACAAAAATCTTGTATTACTATAAATATATAAAAATTGGACACCAAACTCTATCAAGCTAATAATTTTGAGAAAAAGGACTGTGGTTCCATTTCTCAACCCTGGCTGCAGTTACATGGATCTGAGAGGCACTTGCCCTGCCCTCCCTCCACTTTAAGAATCTGTGTGTAACAGGTAAAAAGAGCAACTGCTGTCACATAAGAAACTAAGAAGTAGAAGTTCTTAAAAGAAGAATACCCTAAATATTTGAAGATAAATAACTTACCAAAATGAAGTCAATTCTGGCATTTGCAAGTATCTGAAAGTTAAATTGCTATTCATTCCTGACAAAACTATGAGTATTTAGAAATTACACTCTTTAAGACAGTCAGCAATTTACAGTTCTCCCTGTCAACTTGATGTGGCGTTTTAAACAGAAATCACACCACAAGATATTTTTAATTTGGATTGATTGGGGGGAGTGGGCAGAGAGAATAGGAAATGGTGCCCTGAGCTTCCCTCCACCAAGGAGGAAGAGGAGTAACACTGGTTGTATCGCTAAAGGGGATATAAAAATAATCTGCTTTTTAATAATTTGTCAGCAGGTAGTTGATGCTGTATAAATTAGGCTGCCCTCCTCCACCTACATTTCTCAAGTTTGTTTTAAAATAGAATTTTTATTTTAGAATAGTACCACTGCTTGTACAATTGCCAACCAACCACGGTAAAATCTTAATTAAAAGACCATGTAGTGCACGGGTATGTTTACAGTTCCTACCTATTGAGATTCCACTAGAAAGGGTGGAGCTTTCTGCCTGCCCTCGGGATGGGACATGAGGCTCCATGACGCTGTCATCCAGTAGGTGCCTTGGTCCTGAATTGGGGAATGTTGCGCTTTTAAATTCAGCTGTATTCATTTTGTGTATGAAACTGGAAATGAACAAACATAAAAATTGTTACAACACAATCTTTGATACATTTCAAAAGCTGCTGCTTTAACATCCTGAAGGACTGCATGCAGTGTGTTCCCAATATGAAACTAAATCATGGCTCAAGTCATAAGCAATTGTGCACAAACTATATTATCTATAGGAACTGCTAGTCTTAAAACTGCACAGTGCTCCTGGAGAAAAGACAAAGTCAGGAGTACTTTTAAAATTACTTTCAATATCCTAACGTATTTTAATCTTACCATAACACATAATTGAGCTTTATAATTTTGTTCTAGCTCGTAAAAAGTAAAGTTACACAAGACAAGTTAAGACATGAATTACTGAAAAACTACCATCTTGCATTTTTATAAGATGACAAAGGAACTGATGACACAATGATTAAGATATTAATTAGAAGTACACCTACATAGGAAAAAACCTGAAGCCGTTACTATACTAAGTTATATTGAAGTCTACAAAGGAGGTCTCATCATAAAAATACCAATAAAGTAATAATTTCAGTTTGCATTTGAAAGAATTGCAGTGGTATTGAGTTGCATTCAGAAAAAGCCTATTCTGGCCAGCTCATTGGCTATTCATATCATCAGAACAGCCACACAGTCTTCCTATTTTGACTAATTCTCTTTGGTTGGGACACTACCCTTACAGTTCTGAGCTTGCTCTCCTGCCACAAATTGCTCTCTAAGTCAAGTATTATGTACAAATCATGCTACTTTTTAAAAGCAAAGGTTTTGTAATGAAAGATGATACATCAGAAAGCTTAGGATTTTCAGGTTAAATAAAATAAAATGCTGACTTGTATCCCAGACTATGACATTTCCGATGTCCATGCTGTATCAGGTTCCTAGGCGAAGGGGGTGTTGGTGGTAGCAAGGCTCCTTCAGCTGCAACATTTTTCCGTCCACTTTGTGGAGATGCTCCGACTTCAGAGCCTGGGAACAAAAAAAAAAAAAAAAAAAAGACATCACTGACAAGTAACTTTAGAATTACTGTCAGGGTTGCTTCTAAGAAAACTGTGGAAGAGTTGCACAAAAATTCCTAAACTCATTTTGTAAGAGAGCCTGTAATAAAACTCATTGATATACTTATATTGATAATTGAAAACCTGTACTTTAGGTACACACTTATTTCAAATAGAACATCTAGCATTTTGTAAGTCCTACAGGTTACTGCCACACTAACATGAAACACGTCTCATTCCAGGTTTTCAAACTCCTACCTTCCATCACTGTTGGCACTGATCAAAAGTAATGCACATTTTTGGAAGCATATTATAACACAAAAAGTTTAGATGAAGGCCTTTCATTCTAGACACAACAAAGAATGAATATTTAATAGGTCTTCACTACCAAGTTAGTGTCACAACACATACAAGAACTGACTTCCTTGAAAGAATTTCTCTACAGATCACCTTCAGACTTTTTATTACAAATATACAGTGTTTATACTTCACACTTCTTTATTAGCCTCAGGCAAATACTTTCCACATTTGCAACTCAAAAATAATGCATTTGACAACCTGACGTCTTCTCACACTTATTAAGCACTTACCTACTAAATCTTCTCTAGAAGCAGCAGAGTGGGGGGTGCTCGTCCCTGGTTCTATCTTCAATGAAAGTCTGCATTAAAGAAGCATTAAAAATTACTTTATCAGGAAAAAAAAGCATAAGTAAATTTTTTGAAAAATTACATTTTAAATTTACAACAGAAAGCTGCGTATTTCTATAATTGCAAGAAACACTATGAAGTTAACACAAACAGTGCATAGTTATGTTTAACACACACTATTTCCAAACAAATTTTTTTTTTTAAATTTTTTTTGGGTGGAAAAAACCCTACTACTGCAACAGGGCCCAGTGTTTAGAAAATGACGTGCTGGGGCATTACATAGTAAGTGAGTCTATTGCTTTGGTTTTTATAGACCAGGACATGTTTGCAATATCATGCTGAAGGAGGTCCAGACTCGACAGCAAAACCTTGGCTACTGCACAGCCCTGCAATCTCTTCTGCATCAGGAAGCCTGACACAGCTGGTACAGCTGACCACAGCAGACAAACAGCCACCAGTTGCCATCTTCACCCTCTGTGACAGCAAAAGCTCAATGTGAGCTGTTAACAAGCTGTGGCAGTGTCACACCGTAGAAGGAGGAGGGGAAGAGGACACTGCTCTGTGTTGGCACCACCCTCCAGAGAAAACAGCCACACATAAAACCCCTCAAAAATCAGGTGTTCACATTTTACTCACACTGTATAACATAATCAAAGAGAAAAAACATAAAATGAAAGTGAAATATATATTAAAGTGAAAGCCTTAAGTCATCCTCGGTAAGAACGTGGCACTGGACACACAGATGACTTTGTTCTGATGAAAAATGACATAAGTTATCTCCAAACATGGGATCCATCTTGTTGATCGAACAGTGTTACATGTGAGCCAGAAGCATGGAGTCTTCATTAGCAAACATGCAGAGAGGTCTGCAAATGAAATCAACAGACCAGACCCAAAAGCTAGGGCTTGATGCAGTCAGGCATGGCAAAGGAAGGAGATATGCCATCCACCATTCTGTAAATTGTCTTGAGCACAGGACCCTGCTGTAGCCTCACTGCTTGCACTGGTGCATCTGATAGACATAATCACTCAATACAAGTGTAATCTTAAAAGTGACAGGCTTTGTGCTATAAAAATTATTTTGCAGTGAGTTACCATCAGTTATAGCATTTCATACTTACTTGTAATTGTCATCTTCTACAAACTTTTGTAGTTCTTCTATGTACTGAACTGAGTTTAGATACTTTTGGACATGAGGCAATAGAGGAATATCTGGAGAAAAGATGACATTCATTGTTACTGTACTGCTCATTGGTAAGCAAAGTTATTCTCCAGAAACTATTTAAACAGAATCAGATCTCTTGCTTTTTTATGTGAGATGGAACTACAAACTACAGTCCCTACTGATGCTGAATTTTTTGTTCTTCATAGCAATTCTCATGTGTTGAGCTGACATTCCCCACACCCATAAAGCCAGGTTTGTATCCCTCTAGAGCTGCTCTGCTTACCAGAGCACATACTGGGGAAAAGTGAGAGAGCACCCCGGTCAAATTGAAGTCCCAAACCTGGAACCTGGAGGGTTGTATTTGAGGACTCCTTCACAGCCCACATTCTCATTCTATTGAGATGTCAGTCAAGCTGCAATCCTGTGCTAGTTCCCATTCCACCACCACAAACACAGCCTTATGACTGTACTAGAACTTCAAGAGGACTGTGAGGGAGACCACCTCTGAAGAAAAAATACACTATCTGATCTATGAACAGAACTATAAATGTCCAAAAGACAAGCTGAACATATTTTATTATCTCCAGTAAAAGTACTAATCCAAAACCAATCCTACTATTTTTAGAATTATTCATAGTCATAAAATTATGAAACACGAGGATAAAAGTTAATAACATACTAGTAAAACTGCTGTTAAGTACAATGTATTCTACATTTTTCATCAGAAAATATGTACTGCAAAAACATGTGTGATGTAAGAAAAGGACAATCTATGCTGTCTCCTCATGCTGACACTGTGTCATAACCAACAATACCAGAATAAACTGAGACTTCTGGGCTGAGAGGGTGAGGGAGAGTGCTAATGGCATTCAAATAAGTTGGGTCCTTACTTCCACTGCATTACAGAAGACAAGTACTAAAGCTTTTAAAGTTCTCTTTAATACTGCAGTATTTACATGCTAGCTTACCATATTCACATGACTGCTGTAAATCTGAGATAATTCGAAGAATGTTGTTCATTAAGTTGGTTCTTTGCTCACTTTCCAGAATGCTCCCTGTTGATGGGTATGCAGAGTCAATATATGTCAAGTCTGACAGAAAAATACCTGAATAAGATTAAAATGAAAAGTTTCTTTATTTAGTGTCTCCCATTTTGCAGAAAATCCTCACAAACAATGTTTTGAAGAAGTTTTACTTTCATTGACTAACACGCATGCAGGCTGACAACAGCATTGCCTCAGAATATTATTCTAGATTTACCCGAGAAATCACTTCTGCAAGATCTCTGAGAGCCTTCAGACCTCAGAGGAAAACAGTAATAATGCTTGGACTTACAAGAAAGTACATTACTGTGACACCCCTTATCTGGGATTGAACTTGCACTCTCCTCAATCACTTAGTCTGTAGTTTTGTCCACCTTACCTCAGCTGTATTTGCAGATGCTGAAGTTACGAGAACAGCTAGGCGTGCAATCTTACATTCTCTGTGTGACAAATCACACTGGGCGGCAGAGAGGATCCTTTCCTCCTGCATCACACCAGGCATGCATGAGCTGACTTTGTCTTTAACTAAACTGAAAAGTAATTACAAGGACATGTACAACTACTCATGAACCTTATCTTCTGCCATATCGCCAATTAATTATTCCCTTGATGAATATGAAGCATACTAAACACACTACGCTAAAACACGTGATCAAAATTACTAATGATTTTAGGAAGTCTACTACTTCATTCCTCCAATTCAGCAATTAAAAAAAAAACACAGAAGGAAAAATTATATCTACAACTTTTCGAGCTGAACAGAAACTCAAACTCAACTTGCAGCAACATGGGAAAAGTTAACTAGGCAAAGAGTGCACTCCGACTGAAATGCAGTACAAATCCTGCAGTTCATATTAATCACAACTCCAAAGATCCAACAGCCTTACAGATAAGTCTCTTCAAGTCTTCCACCTGCTTGCTTTCTCACCACTACTGTAACCTCACTACCCTTTCAATCCCTTGACCAAGTAGAGAGGAAAATCCTCCTCCTTACATACTAATGCTGTAGATAAACCACTTATTTTATTTCTAAATTCAACTAAATTTTTTGAACTTCACCCAAAGACTAATAATTTTTGTCTCAACTAAATGAAACGTATCCTGGCCAACTCTGTTATTAAAAGGAATCGCTCTTCATCCCCTCCATCTTCCACAAGATATCCAAATAAAAAAAAAATGAACTTAAATATTATTTTTAAGAAACTTATTTCAGTACCAGGGAATTTCTAAAAATTATATTTTGCTTCACTCTCAGCCTTGTATAACCAGAATCATAACAAGAAGTTTGGCTTTACAGGTGGAAGACTATTAATAGAACCTCACAAGAACAGCAGTTGTGTTTGTATAGCACCTAACCAGTACAGTCCTCAAAATGTGAGTTGGGAAACTCTGGGCATCACTCCAAAATCAACACATACACACGCGTGTGTGCACACACACAGAAACAAATTAAAATACTTGTGGTTGAAAGGTGACATATAAAAAAGTGAATAAAAAGGTATTACACATGACCTGATATACTACTAAATTTCTCAATTTTCTATTCTGCTAGAATCCATTTATTAAAAACCAGAAAGGATAATCAGGAACATCAGATAAGTCACATTTAATTGCTATGCTATCTAGACCACACAAGCTGTCCTGAACCTAACTTTGCTCAGCAATGTCCAATAGGCCTTAAAAATCCCAAACATGCTCAGTCTTTCACAGAAAGTAGTAAATCATGCTTACTAATTATAACTAAGGAAATTCACCATGCACAGGCACCTGCAATATTATGCAGGATTTTACAAACTGATGTATTTGTAGGATTATCTTTCTGAACGACGTGCTGAATTAAGCACCGATTTTTTCCTTTTAGCTAAATCAAGAGCTCTTCTGTAGAGAGCTGTTCTCTAAACTTATTCAGTGCATTTCTATGAAGTCTAAAATAATTTTGAAAGCATACTAGGACAATTCTCTTTCAAACATAACTGGCAAATCCTTTGTGAAGAAACCAAAAAGATCAATGAAAACAAATTGAATGCACTTAAGAGCTGGCTGACTATTGACAGAAATAAAACCAGTATTCTGCATTGCTCCCAGGGCACAATCTCTGTGGCTTTTGCTACTTCTAACACCAGTCAGATGTTATCAAATATTCTGATACCTACCCCAAAACCATCACACACACAGTTTTAACATTTTCCACATGTATTAGAGACTTCATGAGTTTAACAACTGGAACTGTTTCTTATTAAGTGAACGTCAAGAATTGAATGTGACATTCTGTTGAACATTCTTCTAGACTATAAATGGTTCATTTTTCCTGTTGTATCCAGCCAGGCTGCCCCTTTTATTCCCAGCAATACAAATCGAGTTTTATCAGCCTGAAAGAATCTTTCTTCTAAATGAAGCCCAGTACTGTAATAACTTGAAAGGCATCTTTAGGCAGCGTAGTAAAAATGTTTGATTTTCTGAACTCTTGCACAGTCTGTTGCCATATGGTACCCTCCCTTCTACTGGCAAACAATCTTTCCTTGTTCATAACTTCTCAGCCTCCCTACCCCCTCCTTTTCTGGAGGGTATGGATAGGAAATCCGAAGGAGGAGTTTCTTCTGCTCTCAGTGTGTTCGTGGTGACATCATAGGTGGGCTGAACGTCTAAGTCGAGTGTGTGTTTGTTTAAAAAAAAACTGTCCAAAAGTGATGTATATGGAATCTGGGTCAGCTGTAGCTGGTTAGTGCACTTCTGCATCCGAGGGTAAAACACTGCAGTTTCAAAAAAACATTTCTTTCTCTCTTCTGGAATAAAACTTACTGGAACACTACGTTTTTTCCTTTTTTTTTTTTTCCTTTTTTTTTTTTTTTTAAATGATCAGTTAGCTTGGTTATCGTATGGAGAAACCCAATTCCTCAATCCAGCTTGGATCTAACAGAGAAAGACAAAAGCAGTTTTCAACTCCAACTGCAGATTAACAATCCACAGCATCGGGTAATATAGGAAGAAAAAAGCAATTTGGCCTCTGGATTTTCCATCTACCACAGAAGCAAAACAGCTGGAAGATTTTTTTTTCTTGGTAAGTTTTAAAGTTATTCTTGCTTGCAAAAGTTTAATTTTGAGCTATTTGTGAATGCTACATACATCTCCCTCAACATGCAATTGTGAAGAAACAAATCTCAGCCTGAGAAAAGCTTGACAACTAAAATAGAAAACTCACTTTTGTGGCATTTGGTAGACTTTGGAAACTTGGAAAGAATTAAAAAGGACGCTGCATAAGAGCAGAGACTAACTCATTCCAGTTGTAAGGATGAACAACTTTCAGTTGTTCAGCTATAAATCTTCTGGAGATTTTGTTACAGACAGCTACAGAAAATTAATACTACCAGATTCTTTGCTAAGCATGTAATTTGGGTATTGTGACCATATTAATGTGAAGCCAAAAATCCTATCGACTTCAGGGAAGCTGGATTTCACCCAACACCAGAATATAGACCTAGCATTACTAGAACTAGAAAATGGATACCTCAATAAAACCACTGTAAAAAGTCCCAAGTAAATCAATGCACAACTGTAAGCAGCAATCATCGTGTATCGTTTCAACTAAATTTTTATTTATGGTACTTCTGAGCAGTTAGAAGTAGTCTGAGTTGTACAACCAACCAAGAAACTAGGGCATACATTGATTCAGAATATAATCAAGTTTGTTGCACAAACAATGGTGCAGATAAAATCCACAGACATTGCTGCAACAGGCACTAAACCATTCCTTTAACAACTTGTGGAACGATAGGGAAGTTAACTGTACCTCAATTGAGCAGCAGTTTGCTTCTAAATAAAGATTCATTTCATAAACATGAAAAGCAACATACAAGGCAATGCTATTTTAAGTGGAAAATAGAGGGGTTTGTTATAGTTCTTCTTTGGGGGGAGGGAAGGGGAAGGATGCAGTTGCAAGCCAAGGATTAAAACAAGAAGGCTGTTTACAAACAGAAGACATATGTACAGATAAAAACAAAAAAAGAATTGCCAATACATAATTTTCTACTTGCCTTTCTTCATGCTTGCTTGGCAATTAAAACACAGTAAATAACCCAGAACAATGGAAAAGAATTGAAGTTACATATTGGTATTAATAAACTCTCAGAAATGTCTGACACATTAAGAGAGAATGAAGGCAGTGACACTAAAAGAGACAAAGTATTAGAGAAAGCAAACTTAATTAAGATTTGAGAGGAAAAAAGTCTGAAGCAGTCGACAAAAAAGAAAGATGGATCCTTTCCAAATTCTCAAGCCCTTTTTCTTACTATCCTTTTGTGCTTCTTTACATATTAAAGAGAACAATCTAAACAACAAAAACCCCATCTGAAGCCTGCATTGTGTGCTTTGGACGCCAGTCTCCATTCATTCATGATTAGCCAAAGTTTTGATTTACACTGCTTATAACAATTCCTAAGACTTTCAGAAATGAAAACAGCTGAGTCAATAATTTTAAAGCTATAAACTGGCCATATGCAGGGCTTTAACACTCTCTTTTTTTGTCATCTTCCAACTTTAGAGTTCAAATTTTGAAATACTTATTTTAAACAAATAATGGACTACTAATATTTATGCTGGTGCCATAAGAATGATCTGATGTATGATGGAAAAATATGCTGTTTAAAATTTTACAGGAATTCACTTCGAAGAGTGGAAATTCTGAATCTTTAAACTTCTACCAGTATATACATAGCTTTATCAGATTTTCATTATTGTTTTACTGGGCTTAGTTTGTTGTTTGCAACATAGCCTATGAGTCTGGTCCTTAAAATGCATACACCAATGAATGCCACAAAACTTCCTATAGCAAACATCACCAGATGCTTCATGTGTTCAGTACCTGTTTTACAGAGAATTCTGAAGCCCCTGAATAACACACTTACACAAAATGCACCACTCCATTGTACCTGCCTGGTAAAATGGCGCAAACACACACAACTGCTATAAACAAATGTAAAGAAACCCTCACAAAAAAAAACCTTCACACAAAAAAAATCTGTAAATGTTATGATCTTCTGCTGTGTTTTCAGAATACCTAGTACGAG